GTAGGGGAGTGTGGCAACAGGTAGGCCTGGGTGGGAGGGGAGTGACTGGGGGCAGGCTCCATCCCTTTGTCCATCTCACTGCCCCTCCCCCACCACAGCGGGACAGCCTGGTCCTGGCCTGCCGTTACCTGGCGGGGGCGGGAGAAGGGCTGAGCCCCTACCCAGCTGCCATCACAGCCTACGCCCTCTCGCTGGCCTCCAGTGACCGCGATGCCATTGCTGCTGCCAGTGCCCGCCTCCGCGCCCTTGTCGCAGGCTCCATCCCTTTGTCCATCTCACTGCCCCTCCCCCACCACAGCGGGACAGCCTGGTCCTGGCCTGCCGTTACCTGGCGGGGGCGGGAGAAGGGCTGAGCCCCTACCCAGCTGCCATCACAGCCTACGCCCTCTCGCTGGCCTCCAGTGACCGCGATGCCATTGCTGCTGCCAGTGCCCGCCTCCGCGCCCTTGTCACCACCTCCCAGGGTGTGTGAGTCCCTGGCCCCCCTGGGCTGGGTGTGGGGGCGGAGCTCCAGGTGCTGACTGTTCCCCACAGTCCCGTATTTCTTTGTATAGAACGTGCATCTCTCCCCGCCCCCAAACCTAGTGGTGGGAAATTGGTCTGCATGTTCTATATGAGGAAATACAGTACTCGCCATTCCCACTCCTTGGCTGGGGTTGGGGGCAGAGCTCTAGCTGCTGGAAGGACCCTATACTTCCATATTTCCTCATATACAACACGTGTCTCCCTCCAACCCCCCAAAAACCCCAATGGCTGGAAACTGGCCTGTGCCATATATGTGGGGAAGTACAGTAAGCAGTGCTTCCTACCCTTTCCAGGGCCAAAGCTATGGTCAAGGCCACGTGAGATGTGAGGGGGAGTGGAGACTCTCGCCACTGCCTACCGCAAGGGAAGACTGCTCCCCCAAAACTTAATTTGTGTCTTCAAGATCAAGGCACATTGTATATGGGGCAATATGGTAGAGCAGCTCCTGGGAGGGTCCCTAGTGGTGCTGGAAGGTGTTGCAGGCCCAAGAAAGCCCCCTAGTGGTTCCAGGGGGATATTGAAGGCTCTGGAGAACCCCCTAGTGGTCCCAGGGGGTACTACAGCCCCTCAAGAGCCCCCTAGTGGCCTTAGGGGGTACTGCATCTGACTGGGCTCTGGTGGGGGCTTCCTTTGGTTCCCACAGACGGGACACAGATGTTTTGGGCAGCACAGGGTGAGGCCCAGGGGATCTCGGCCACAGCGGTGACAGTGGAGGCCACGGCTTATGCACTGCTGCATCTGCTGCTGCAGAATGACCTGACGATTGCCCCGAAGGTCACCCGCTGGCTCACGGAGCAGAGGAACTATGGTGGTGGCTTCAAGTCTACTCAGGTGCCGCTTGGATGCTGATGTCGCCTCTGCAGGGTGTGGGGGGGAGAGGGGTCTGTTTGCATTGGACCAGGGTGGGAGCTGGGAGTCTGGATGCCTGGGTTCTCTGGGAGGGGAGCGGGGGCTGGGAGCCCGGATATCTGGGTCCCAGCACCAGCTGATCACCTGCAGGACACAGTGGTGGCACTGGACGCCCTGTCCCAGTACTGGATCAGCACCTACAAGCAAGAGGACAACGCCCTGGACGTCACTGTCTCCACCCCTGGCCGCAGTGGTGGCAAGAGGATCCTGCTTGACCGCACCCAGAACCACATCCAGGAGGAGCTGAAGGTTAGTGGAGCTGGAGTGGGGCCCCCAAGGACCCCACCATGGGCTGAGGGCTAAGGAGTCCATGCCTCAGTTTGGCACCCTCTCCCTCCCCCCAGTTCCCTCTCGGATCCAACATCCATGTGAAGGTGGAAGGCAAAGGCAAAGGCAGCCTGACCGTGAGTCCCGCCCAGATGCCTGAGTTCTCTGGGAGGGCTGGGGGCTGCTGGGTGGCAGTGGCCGGGGGGTTGAGGGGGACCCAGATGCATGTGCTCTCTGCAAGGGGAGGGCAACTGGAGGGTGGTGGTGGTGGTGGGGGGTGGGTGTCTGAGAGCCTGGATGCCTGGGTTCTTTGGGAGGGGAGTGTGAGTGTGGGGGATGGGAGCAGGGGGTTAAGTGCCTAAACACCTGGGTTCCCTC